TACCAAGTATTTTAATCCTCATGGGAATGTAAACTGGAATCAGTATCTGGCGAATCAGACAGTAGACAAAATGTGGTTTCTCTCTCTTATCTACAGACACTCTTTCATACTTTCATTCTCTCCCTCAGTTACTGATGAGAAAAATAAAAAAAATCAGATGTTTAGTTCTTCTTGCCAAGCAATGGAGATATCATAACAATAAGCTGCATATGAGGATGAAGTTTCCTGTACTTTAAATAGTGTAGCAACTGAAATAGTGTAATTCCTCAAAAGTTGTTTTCTTGTCACCAATTTTGATAAAATTCTGGTCAATTAATACACTGAGAAAATGAATTAATTCCTGGAACCATAGGAACACAGAGGTGGGCAGGAAAGAAACATGACCCTGTTCAAACTCCTCAAAAATTGGAGCTGCACTGGCACTATTACTTTTAGTGTCTCATAATTCTAAGTGCTGTACTTCTATAGAAGAAAAGAAATGAGGTTACTATAAAGGTTTTCCTACATGAGTGCCCTCCAAGATGCATAACTGGCCTAATCAATCATGGATCCAACTTCTCAGTCTGGGCTACTGGTGGGAAGAAGCAGCAGACACATTATGTGAGGGGATACGCTCAGGCAGCCTTTGTATATGGAGGAAGGAAGTATTCCTTCAGGTCTTCTCCCCTTTCTCTGCTCATGTCCCTCTGGAAGCACTTTTTACAGGACCAGGAAGAATGTTTTCCTATTGCTCTATTTTCCACCCCCATGATTCCAAGACTTCTTGAACCCTTGTAGAGATGGAAGAATTTCCTAATGAAAAGCTACACAAGGAATGTAAAATGATGGAAGTTCTAAAGCAGCCTAAAATGAGGGATCACTAACAGATGTTCCATCCTAGAATACAGATGATTGTACTCCCTATACAGAGAAATGTATCTATCCAGAAAAGCACTTACTTGACACAACACAGACCAAACTACATCCCAGTGATATAGGTATTAATGTGTTCAAGACACATTAAGAAGGTTGAATAAATTGTTGTTCATAAGGCCATATATGCTGCTGAAATCTGCATGTAAGAAGACGTAATTAAAATTAAACAAAGTTGTTTCATTTCAGATTGGTCCTACAAACTGAAAGATTCTTTTTGCTATAGGTGGATCACACTATGACACTATTCTCTATCAAACTTGATTTTGAATTTCTTCCCTTTTTTGGTTTACAGGTTATGCTTGTTGTATGAACTTCAGGTGATGACTCCAAAGGATCATCTGATTACCTTTGTTATCATGGAACAAGACTGCTTAACCTGTTCTGTAATTCAGAAATATTTTAGATGTATATTCACACTGATTTAAATGGAAACTTAGTGCTTTGCTTGGATAAAAGCTAGAAGCTATTTTGTTTTTTGTTTAAATACTGAGAGAAAAAATTTAACTTCAGTGTTAATATTTATTTTACAAGTAGGTCCTATGATATAATCTTTCACTTTTACTCCTAAGAAATAAGAAAAATACTATTCATTTTAATATCACTATCATATGCCAAAATATTACATATTTTCAAAATTTACTTTAATATAATAAAAAATAAGCCCACAGATTTATCAAGGCAAGATACGTTCCGATTGTTAAATCCCTGTGTAACATATTTTAAAATAACAAAGGTGGCTGAAATTTACAATAATTATATTGCATATTTAGAAGCAGAGACACAGACACGTGTATATATATATATATACACATATACATACATGTATATTTGCAACATATATTTCTAAAAAACATTTTAATTTTTAAACTGCATTTCAGTCAACTTAAAAGCTGAGAAACTTTGAGAGAAGCTGAGGTTGATACATGTGCCTCAAGGTATGTACATTGATTTAAGTGTGCTGCAAGGTGGAACATTGTACAGTACATTCATTATTAAGTTTATACTGTAAAGATTACATTATTTTCTCATATTTTCAGATTTATCTTTTCTGAAACATGTTTATTTGCTTATTAAGCAAGATGATACAAGACTTTACTGTTGCTTGAAAATGTTTGTTCTGTGGTCTGAAACAAATAAATCTGTTGTAAATTTAGCTTATAATATCTAAACCACATATGAATCAATGTTATCAAATGTTTTTAGCAATGGAAAAAATTAGTAGTTTGTGTCTATAATTCAGACTGATAAGTGCTGAATCTGACAGATGGTGGGGAAACAGGGACTGTAATTTTACGAAAATTAGATTTGGATCTTGCATATCTTGGGGTTCATTGATTTAAACACTTTCAGTAGTGACACAGACTGTTCTTAATTTTCTTGTAAAATGTGTCTAACCAAAGATGAAAGGACAAAGAGATGCCCTATTCAAGGTTAAGTTCAATTATCTTTACTGCAGCAATTCCAAAAGTTTTTGGAACAGTAGGAAAATATAAGAGTTTGCAGTTTTATGATTCTTCAAGAGTATTTAATGAATAATTCATACTTTCTATTCACATTTTTTAGTCCTGACTTTACACATTGATACATAGTTTGAAGAGAAGCACCACATTGCCTTAGCTGCATGTTTATGCTAAATAATTCCAAATAGTTTAAAGTCAGCAGTGAGCATAATTCTTTTAATTTAAGATATCAGGAAACACATGTTGAATTGAAAGTGCAAATGAAATAACATCAAGTCAGTATAAAAGGACTTTATTACAAGCCATGTCAGGTGTTTGAGCATGTCTGCTGGGAAATCATTTGAGAAGTCGCTTGAGAACTGGTATAATTCAGCAGCTAATAGAAGTATTTTTGGGTATTTTTTATGGCAAACTTCACTCCTGAATTTATGGAATATATAAGACATTTGAATTATGAAAATTCTCCATTATAATAATATAAATATGTTTTCTCTCCTCTTAAAAATGTCCTCTCATTTGAAGCAGTGGAGTCTCATTACCACAGGATGCTGTAGTATTTCATAATTTAGGAAGCCTTGGCTGGTAAACATGGCCACTTAACTCTATCATCACATAGCAGTTATAGGATGCTAACTAGAATATCTTTACTTCAAGACCTGTAAAAATGGAAATTAAAAAAAAAACCCTCAAAAAATACTTTCAGGCCAAATCAAAATCAAGAAATTTAGTAATATATATAAGCGTAATGACAGATAGTTGAAACACACACTTATTCTCTGTTTCTAAATATCAAAGATATTTATGCAGGCATCAAGTTATTAACAGAACGGGGCGAGGTTTAGAAACAAGTAACATTCAGCTGCCATAACAAACGTGTTCAAGTCCTCTTAGATGATGCAGATTATCTTACTTGGTCATGTGCTGATCTCTTCTAAATACAATGTCATACCTATGTTTGTGCTATGCAGGCACTTCAGATAATCAAGGGCTTTTAAAACATTATCAGGTGACTCAGATTAACCTGTTTCTACAGCTGTGTAGACACAGCTAGATACACCAAAAGTTGTAAGTGAAATACATCTCCTAGGGCTATTTATGTAGTCTTTAGAAGAGTGGTGTTCCCCTCCTCTTGGTCAAATACTCTGTTCTTTAGGCCTTATGAGGTATGGCCCTTTTACAATTTTGTCTCCAGTCAGTGGTTTTTCACCTTCTCTTGAAAAACTGATGAATCTCAGCTGCTGTGCTGCAGTGTGGCCTCAGTGTTTTGAGAAAAGCCATGATTGCTGACCTCAATCATAGATCATATCTGTGGTATGATGATCATCCCTGAGGTATAATCTTGCCGTGCTTTCTGGAGATGTCCAGGATTTCTAGTTCCAGCTTGTACTGTATTATTCAATTAGTCTGTATGTTTTGCTTTCTCCTTTAGTCTTTAGATATTTGTGCTGTAGAAGATCAGCATAACAGACTGTAGTTCTAATAGACATTAATTTTAACCTGCTCTTTTAAAGTTGTCAGGGAGGAGTTATCAGTGTCTGGTGGATGGGCAAAAACAGAGCTCACTCTAGTCACTGCTTAAAAGAGTGTTGCAGTGGAAGGACAAATGTAGAAACATTCCCCTATTCCAGAAATGGTATCAAACAGAATTTATCTGCTGACAGGATCAAATAGTTTATTTTCTAGATCAAAATTTATTCAGGGAACATATTTATGTTTGTATATATAAGCCATTTTTCTACACAAACCATATGTATACACCATTAACTTTCAATACATGTAAGGCATTTTCCAGGGGAAAAAAGACTTTGCTGAGAGAAGTAACCTGTTATCACACTCAAGATATTGTGTGAATTTCATTGAACTGCAAGTTTTTAGTCACAATTCTTTCCTCTTTTATATCCTTAGACTAATATGCTTATGTATCCCCTAATATCTCCTTCATTTGCCTTCCTTTCTTTCTTTCTATCTTTCTTTCTGGCTTTCTTTTTTGACTGCAATTCAGGTAATCACTGTCACTAAAGAAGTGCTATTAGAAATGTGGCTTTTTAAAATGCAACCAAACATGGGAAAATATGTATTTTTACTATGAATTATTCATTTAGAGGTGAATGATACCATATCACACCAGAAACACTATCCAAGCATGCACATAAGTACATGCATGACAGAGTTGACTACAGAATAGAATACAGAATCTATTCTACAGAACAGATAATTTAGAGAAAAAGTAGTTTTATAAGATTTACTCTTCATGTTTAATTTATATTTTTAACATTCATGATTAAATGAAAAAAAATCAAAGGGTAAAAAAAAATATTTATAAAAAGTGGCTTACATTTTGCTACTAGGTGAAATTGTGCTGTAATGGAATTTTAAATCACTGGTTTGCTATTTTCATGTAGCAACACCTGCATAAAACCATTTTGCATAGGGATCTTTAAGAAAGGATATTTTAACTGGTGACTTTAAGGCTGTTCTGAAGAACCTAAAGGAAAGCAGCTCATTTCCACCTTGTGACATTTAATAAAATTCAAAGTTATGTCTGAGAAATACTGAAGTAAGCTGACAAAAATGTACTGATTTTGAAAAATGTTTCCAAGTTTTATAGGGGGAAGCTGCACTTACCATCATGTTTGAAGGTCTCTGAAAAGTGGTAGAGGTTTGTTGGGGAGTGATAATGTTGTGCAGCTCCTCTCCAGCCTGGTGAAGACACGCTTCCTAATGAAGGACTGCTTAATCGTGGTCTGTTCTTTGAATTAAATGAGGCTAAAGATGAACTACCAGATTTGATTCTTAGGATAGCAGCATATGATGTGGGGAGACCAGGAACAGCTTCTGAATATTCTGGAAAAAAATAAAAAAACTAAGAAGTGAACACTGAATAGAGACAAAATCTGTCACTTTGCAAAAGAATGTTTAGTTAAGCAGTAGAAAAGTTTTATCCATAAAAGGAGAGACAGAAATATCCCAGGCTTGATGAGAGATTCAGCTTCTGAAAATAATCGTGTAGCAGCACAGAGCGCTAAGAAAATTTCCCTGCAGCTTCACCACAATATAAAAATCAGGTGGTTATTAAATTTTTTTCTTATGGAAACATCAGTTTTCAAAGTTTTTAATTTTATTTCTATGACTCTATATTTCTATCTCATAGTGGAAAAGTGTCTGCCAGGCCACCATCTTTCCTTCACTTTGTATGTGCAATGCAGAAACACTGACTGAAACTAAATATGCTTCTCAATTCAACTACTCTGCTAATCAAGCAGGTTAGCTAAATGGGCCAAGAGTACCTGTATTCATAATGCCTTTCCAAAAACATATATACACTAGTCACCTCTGCTGCCTCATTAAGTTCCCTTTTTTCCTTTTCTGTATCGATTTAAAATGTCGGTGTTTACAAATAAAGAATAGCGCCCAAGTTTTCTGTCCCTGTATAGTACCAAATATAAAGGAAATAAATTACATTATAATAGATTAAAACCTATAACTCAGGACCTGCAGGAACAAAGCAAGCAGAAGTAATGAAATCAGTTGTCTTGAAAATGCAACAGTATTAAGGAGGTGAGAAGAGCATTCAAAAATATATTCACAGAGGTGAGCAAAGGGATCCAGACTGTACATCCAGTGCCTATGAAGGAACAGATCTTTTGCAGGATAATTGGAAGTGGCTGGAAGAAAAAAACATCACTGTTCTGTCATCTCTGCTGGTGATAAATACTTAAAAACCGGACATACTTTTCACATTGGCATAACATGTAATATTTGTCATTTTTAGGCTATGACTCCCCTGTTTTTTGTGTATGTAACACAATGAGCCACTGTAGTAAATAGGATTCAACAACACTGAAATAGTTCTGGCAACTTCTTTTTGCCAAATTAATTTGTGCAGACAGTTTTGTGAAATGAAGTTTTTCTGTGCTGCCTCATCAAGCTAGGAAGGCTGCAATCCTTCTCCCACTTAAAAAGAAAAAAAATAATTTTATAATTCCTTATTATTTGGCAGAGTGGGGAACACTACTTCTGCAGTGGTCTTTTCAGGGTTTGAAAGAACGAAAGAATCAACTAGAACTCAGGTGGCATGAATGAAAAGTACCATGGGAAGAAAGAGAAGGAAAGTATACAAAAGTCACTTGACATAGCAAAAAGGTCCTGAAGTAATGATAGTGTTATGTAATCTGTTTTCTGACCTTCTATGGTATAATTGCTATGTTTGGCTGGGATTAGCGATCAATGTGAAATTTCACCCTGACTACAGTTGCTGTTTTATGCTCACAGGTACGCTGTATCTGAGTAAAGTTTCTCTTGTAAAACATAACTGGAAATGGTTAATAAATTATACATAAGGAAATATTTCTTGTTTGTTTACTGTAAGTCTGTAGCCTGTGATCGTTACTGACAACTACAGCAGAAAACACTCTGATCTGGAAACAAAACCTACTTCCTAATTCGAGCATTCACCTTCAGAGATTTAGACTTCTGAACTGCCTAGTTACAGTGGCTTAATTAGAATATATTTTTATTGGAGTACTATTTACAGTAAAAATTATTCCTTTAATTTGGTTTGGATTAGACTTCTGAGATTTGGGAGAATAAATTTATATATTCCATTATTTAAGTACATAGTTAAACTGCTGGAGAATAGATATTACTCTCTAATATGCTTTTTCACTTTACCAGTCTACCCTAAAAATCCTTGAGAAATTTCATCGAAACTACTATGGGTACTTCTCAAAATGCTGTTGTACTTGAACTTCACAATGAAATTGTTTTCCCTAGCCTCATTCTGAGAAATAAATTAAAAGTCTGGGATGAAACCTCCAAAAGTTCCTTCATCTGCAAGAAGACACAGATAAGGAAGATATAGGTCCAAATGGTAAGGATACCAAGCAGCTAGAAACCAGGCACAATAAAATCAGTGATTTGGGTTAGCCTTCATATTTCTTTGAACTAGAACTACCAGATTTGTAGTCATTTTAACAGTGGTATGACACTTTTAAGAAAGACTATTTTTTTTTAATTTCTGGTGCATATTTTTTTAATGGATTACCAACAGCAAACTGATATGAAAAAATTTTGGTAATTTTTTAGTGAATCTGTATCAACTCAATAAATTACTCATGCATCTCCTTTATTTCCAGCACACAGTGTTCTTCAGTAACGTTGGTAAGATTCAAGAAAAAAAGGAAAACAACAATGCCATAGGTAATAGAGAACCTGTCTTCCACTGATTACTGAGGGGTTATTTTTGCTTTTAGAAAAAAACAAAAAATATTAATTACAAGGTAATGTGAAAGAATTTTATTCCTGTAATTTGTAATATCTATGTTACGTTAAATTCAACTTTATTTCATGTGTGCTGTTGTGGGAGAACAAAGCTGACTCTGAGGGAAAGGCAAGACAGCAAATGTTTACACAAGTTCCTTGGGTACAGTCAATGGATACAAATATAAACAATAAGTACTACTCTTATATTTTATATTTTGTTTTAAACGGTACAACATAGCTAAAAAAAAAGCTCAAACAATGGTACACAGTAATTTGACTAAAATACATTCTTTCTTTAAACAGAGAAAAATGACAAGGCAAATTCATTGACTCAACCCCAAAATTTCTTTGAAAACTGTCTTTGTAATATTTGAACTTTATAGAGACTAGAGGATTCAGATTTTTGGTGTGATGTTTTGTTTTCCTTTATTCCTTTTTTTTCTATAAGTGACTCCTGGTCAGTTACTAACTCATTGACATTTCTCAACTATCTAATTAAAATGTAGACTGTCTTATAATACTTGCAAATGTGACCTTCATTTGTGTATTTTTGTGAGCTAGCATGTTTAATCAAATGTCACTAAGAATGATAACCCATTTTTTTCATTGTAACTTTTAATTACATCATTTCAATGGAAGTGTTCAGTCTTCTAAGCTTATGGAAATATGTGCATTAATTCTGTAAACTGGATTGTATCAGTGTTGCTCAGGTCTTTAAACAGAAATATACTTTCTGCCCTGTTCTCTGCAGGCACATTTGTTTCCTCTTAGACTGCTCAATGGCATGTAGCTGGGCAATAACCTGGAGAGAGATGCAAGAATAGCAGGAAGCCGTGTTGATAAGGTATCCATCCAGATCATCTCCTATGAGAACAAGGATCACTACTAAAACACAGCAAAATGTGATCAAGTAATACTTTTCTGATAAAATTATATTAACTGTAACAAAAAAAAAAACCAAAACCAAAAAAAGCAGACCTAGCAAAACAACAAAACATACACAAAAAAAGCTTCAGCCAAAAGCCAACCAAGCAAGCCACACACAAGAACACCCCAGAACTAAGTGGAAGCCAGTAGATTTCTCAGGAACTGGTTAGTTTATCTGATCCTTCTCTGTGTATTTCCCACTATGGTGGTTTAGTTTATCTGAGAGAGATTTTATTCTGAAGTTGCTATTGTATCCCACTTATCACTCAAAGCAGTAGACAATGCAATCATTGCATTGTCTATTGACATTGCATTGTCAAAATCATCAAAATCGAACAAACCATGAGAGGGAAACCTTCATTGGAGGCCTCATTTTAAATATTTGGATTCTGGATGCCCACACATAAGGTAATGAGGCTGGGCTCATTTTACAGGAAAGGAAGAGGAAAATGGCTTGTGATAGGACAGGCAATCTCGATAAACAGCTACTTCTGGCCACAGAATGTAAAGGAAAGTAAGATGAATAGCTAAGATGTCAACATTTTGATTTCTCATATGTCAGTTGTCTTAGTCTTAGAATTATAGAATCATAATTGTTGGAAAAGATCTCCAAGATCACCAAGTCCAACATTTGACTTATCACAAAGCAACTAGACCACTGCACTGAGTTCTGTATCTAGTCACCTCTAGTGACAGTGATTCCACTGCCTCCCTGGGCAACCCTTGCCAGTGTTTAACCTCCCTTCCAGTAAAGAAATTCTTCATGATGTCCAGTCTGAACATTCTCTGATGCAGTCTGTGGTTATGTCCTCTTGTCCTGTCACTAGTTGCCTGGGAGAAGTGGCCGAATCTGATTTTGCTACAACCTCCTTTCAGGTGGTTGTAGGGAGTGATAAGGTCCACCCAGAGCCTCCTTTTCTCTAGTTCTCTCATCATAAATCAATCAAGCTTGATATGTGTCTTTTCTGCTCAAAATATTTGGTTCTTCTGCAAGGAAATGAAAAAATCAAGAAATTGGAATTATTTTCCAATGAAGCAGTAGGGCATGACTTAGAAGCTGGATGTTCTCAAGGAAATTATGTTGGTGACCTTCATCAGCCCTTTTCACCACAGATATGATAGCAGGAGAAAGAGGGAAAAGTTATGTATGTAAGGTGGTCTTTCTTTGGAGAAAAAAGATTTTTGCCAAGTCTTTGGCAAAAATAAATAAACATTCAATCCAAAAAATTGTTCTCTTGAACTTTTCAGTAGTCTGCTGTTCAAGGAAGATACATGATAATTTAACTTGAAAATCTGCAATAGCCTCTCACTTTATAGAATTTGTCTTTTTCTTAGAAATCTGGTCATACAAGGCACCAAATTTAAGAACATAGACTATCATAGACAGACATGGGAAAAATAATTAGGGATATATTTTGTTTTCCTTTAAAATAACAGAGGAAGTGATTTGAAGACTTAAATCATTGACTGAGAGATAGTAAAGAATATTTCCTGCGGCTATTAGCAATTGAATCAACATCTTTGGAATATTATACTGTTACAGCTAATTTAAATGTCATGAATTTTTATGAGGAATTATTTTGATTAATATAAAGATGGTTTTGTAGAGTTAGTCATTACTTCCTTTCCTACTCAAAAAAACAATCTATTTTTCATCTTACTTCCACTTCATACTCATAATTCAACAAATAGATTACTCAATATATGCCCAATTATTCCCACTTTGCATCCAACATATGACATACACCAGAGCAACCAAAATGTACTTTAATACAGAACACCTTCCGCTAAAGAATGCTTCCGACTGCAGTAATACAAATAATAAAACTAATAATATATTCCAATTATGGAACAACATTTGTCCAAAGTAAAGTGGTTTTGAACAGAGAAAAGTGCTTGGGTTTATTGTTATATTTTTTTCTATTGAAACACTTAATGGTGTCTCTTTTAAAGCACGCTAATATAATATACAGAATAAAATGAGTTAGGGTGTGTTTTGTGCCATAGCATAGGCTTCAAACACAGGCATTATGTTCAGTGAGTACTTTGCACCGTTTTTTGAAATTCACTGAAGTCATGTAATGAAAAGTGCTTTTTGGAAGTAAAAAATATAAAAACACTTTGAAGACTCTTTTAATGTTCATATTGAAGGAAAATTTAACTCAAAAGAATAGCAACAGACTCTTATTAATTAGCATATTCCATCTATATCAACATTTATTACTTCTGGTTTTTGGACTCCCAAAGACCACAGGTTTGTCTGGCATTTTACCAACACATGGATTATTTCTGACTGTTTGTCTAATAAAAAGGAGTTTTAGGCCAACTTTTCCTGAAAGCAAACAATGTAGGTAGCCGAGGACATCATTACTTCCATGCCACCCAAGAAATACTGTGTAAGGATTAGCTTATTTTAAATACCTTGTGATCTTTGACCTGAAAGAGGGGTGCTATTGACTTGGTGTAATTTGTTAATATGTATGAACACGTGCACTGACTCCCATGTCGGTTTGGTTTGTCAACTTTTAGATATATTTCACTCTAGTACTTCTTCAGGTGCTTTCCAGATTATATTTT